TAGCCAATTGACACTTATGTGCATATACGGAAATCTAGTCAGGAGAAGGGGGCAGGAGGGGGAAGGTAAATTCACACCTAAGGGGGGCAATCCACATATTCCGGGTGAGGGACCGACTTGCAATAGTAGCTTAATGTACAAATGCAAACGCAATAACTAAAATGTGTGTACCCCTGTAATACTCTAAAATGAAACAAAGTAAAAAACTTTAAATTATTCAAATATTTTAAATTATTGTCATATTGTTTGTAGGGTATATGCAAACAGCATACCATTTTATACAAGGGTCGAGCATGGTGAATTTTGGTATCTGTAGGAGTCGTGGAACCAATTCACCATGTAAAAAAAGGGGCAACTGTATATTTGAATTATACCTATATTGATTTTATGTCATTATTGTATTATTTTAAGTGAATATATTCACAAGTTTCACCTATTCCTTTATACATTTTTCATAATTGGAATATTAACATCAATGTAAACTTGGATTTAGGACAGGATAACGTATGTAATTGTTCTTTCTACTAAATCTCATAATGTAATATGGGATTTCTCTCTCTGTGTTTATATGGAATATTAAAACAATTTTGAGAACAACATATGAATTGCTTTATACACACTGGAAATTATACTGGATAGAAATTACACAAACAATATAAGACTCATATTTTCTACCTTCCTTTTTGAGTAGTGGCTTTTATGTACTAAGAGCTCTTGCTTCACTTATCTCAAAAGAGTTTTAGATTATAGAATTTTGTTTTGCTTGCTTCTTTGCTTTAATAAGCTTATTTAACAACTACTTTCTGGTAAACAATTACTATTCAAGTATGCTAATTCACCTTTAGTTTATACTAACTATGTGTATCATATGCAATCTTAGAATTCTGACACACACGCACACACATCTTTAAAGAATAAGTGTAAAATTGCCGGGATATCTATAGGAAACAAAATATAGTACCTTTTTGAGCAAAACTTACATTTCTGACTTCTGTAATGAATAATTGCATTTCTTGTGGCAGATAAGTATTGAGAGGTGACATCTGATTGGTATTTAAATCCAATGGGATTTAATAGAAAAAATTCTGGATGGATTGAATTTGTTGCTATCATTCTCTAGCTACATAAATTTTAGTGTGTCAAAAATTCAGGTTGCTCATTAGTTTCCTAATCTATAAATGATGTTATTTTATATCTAAAAGAATTATTTAATCAAAGGGAAGTTACTTAAATTCAGCACATAGCAGATATAAATATATTTTCAATTATATAAATTTATTTAGAAAAACAACAAAACTTGCTTCCCTGACACATTAAAAGGTAGATGTACATAGAAGTCAATGTAATCACTTTTAAATTTCATGAAAGCTGAGTAGTTAGGGCTTATGGGTGATGGTAGAATACCGCCAGGATACTGAGGATCTGAGCAAAGAAAAAAAATTCCTTAGCCAATGGCAGCAAGTAGCTATAATTAAACTTTTGTGTGCAATGTATCTTTTAAATTAAATACAGAGAAGAGCGTCCTAAAAATTTAGCTCCTCAAACATAATTTCAGCATAGACAAAATTGATAAGTGGAAAATCTATAATAGCCTTATGGATATAATTTATATTAACTGGTTATGCTGTTCTTCAATAATCATGCAAATTAAAAAAATAAAACCTTTTAAGTATGTATACATAAATTCTATTTTGAAAGAATTAAGAAACTATTCAGGTGGAAATTTGGTTTTCCTATCTATAGATACCAGGTACTGTAGTATTTGGCCTCCATAAATTGTCCAGTACGCCACTTCATCTTATCTCAAAGGTAAAGTATGCATTATATTTGAAAAGATATTGCATACGACTTTTTACCATACAGCCCAAGATTTTCACATTCAAACTGCAGCTCCATCTCTTTCCTTTTGCCACAAACAACCACAGTCATGTAATTAGAATAATTGATTTGCATTCCTCAAATACAACGTGTTCTTATGAGCTTCCCTGCTTCTGTATATGTTTCTTCCTGCCCTCAGCCCTGCCAGGTGAATGGTGAATGGACTGTTGGTGGGAGAACTCCTGTACAGATTCACAGCTTTGCTGATTTCTAATTCTCATGCTGTGTTAACATCTTCATCTTCGTATTATGAAAACATTTCATAAGTAACTGATTTACCTATCTCATGTAAATTAGTTGGTACTAATCAGCCACCTGTTTCCATAGTTCTTCTCTTGATCGATTTCAGACTCCACAAGGGGAAGCCATAATTTTTTCATTCATTTCCTCCCATAGCCCTTTCTGGAAACTTGGAAATGGAAGCATAAAGATTGATTTTTATAATAACATCTCAATATTTGTTTCCCTTGTTTATAATGAACGTTCTTTTAGCAAATTTATTAAATGGCATATTGATGATTTGATTTTGATTTACTCACATCTCAACTCAGGTAAAATAACCAGTTTTTGTAAAAATGGGAAGGACATTTTCAAGTATAATAACAATCTAGTCAGTCTGGTCTAGCACCTACCCTCTCCACTCAGTCTAATAGATTCTGTCTGGGAGTTCTCACATCTTCTTTCTATCTCAAATCAACAAGACATATACTTTAAATAATAACACATACATATATAATTAAAATATAATTATAGGAACCACTATTGAACTTTATTTCAGAAAATGCCACCTAAAATAATTTATTCTATAGTCCATTCTATTCTATCCTACTTCATTTTTAAAATTCCTGTCTTGGCCTTGGTTTTGAAACATACTAGTTGAACTTACTTGGATGGAGAGTGTTCCTATTCCTTCTCCAAATGGGTTTGGGCAACAATAAACTACAGGATTTTGTCAATGACTTTGTCCCAAAGGATATTGTTTAGGAGGATGATGCAAATAAAATCATCAGAAAAATTACAGTTTATGTCTACAGGGAGCCCAAAGCAGTCTGGAGATCAATTAATTTTCTTCTCTGATTTTGAGGAACCATAAATCTATAGTTCTGCATCTGGCATCACATTATTCCCTTAATGTTCTCATTTTTGCAAAGATATTTATTTATAATGATATTTATTTATTATTGTATTAATTATTCATATTTCTACTGTTAATGATTGGTGACAGGGTGTGAATTTATTTTTAGTTACCTTGTGAAAATTCTTATAATGTATCATTCAGAGAAATAATGTCCAACTCCAAAGAATCTATTGCAAACTATTTGCAGATCTAATGCTCTCTGTGTGGTGTACTGACTAAACCGAGTACAGAACATCTGCCCTATCCACATAGGTAAACACCATGCTGGTTGGTTGAGAGCCTGAATAGAACCAAAAGGTAGGGGGAGGGCGAATTCACTCTCTCTTATTCAGCTGAAACATCCTTTTCTCCCGCCCTCTGGTTTGGGGCCTCTTGACTCCAGGTCCTCCTCTCACAGTTTGCACTATCCTCCGCCTCCTGCCTCCAGCCCCCTGCCTCTCAGGTCTTCAGGCTGCAGGACTTACACCCACAACCCTCCTGGTCCCCATGCTTTGCCCCTGGACTAGAAATTATACCATCAACTTTCCTGATTCTCCGGTCATCTCACTCAGATTTTCTGCTGCTTCAGTTTACAGACAGCAGATCATGGAAGTTCTAGTCCTTTATAATCACATTAGCCAATTTCTATAATAAATCTCCTCACATACACACAAACACACACACATACATACACTCATACCCCCAAACACACACTTCTACTGATTCTGCTTTTTTGGATATCCTAACTAATACATTCATGGGTGAAAGTTATAATCACATTTTATTTTTTCAATGGTGAAATTTTAACATTATTCCTTTGCAAAACTCTAAGTTTCCCTTTAAAATTTCATCACCAGATAGTCATAGGCAATCATACATTCCAATCGTAGAGGTGTTTTCCCTAGGGATTTCTCAAGTTTTAATGACAATACATGGGTCTGCATGATCGCTAAATATCCTAATTAACTGAGAGATCATAGTTGATTCTTATACTTTTGAGCTAGAAAATATAGGTGTAAGAAACTTCTAGAAGAGGGAAGTGAAGATTTCAATGAATGTATCTCTCTATCAAAATCAACAAAACCATTTGTAAACATATGCAAATAGATGGTTCCAGAACTACAGAAATCCACCACAGTGTGCGTGTGTCTGTATTTATTTAATATCACTGGAATTAAACTTTCAGTTTAAATCCTTCATCAAAAAAGAAGGAAGTAGAGCTGAAATAAGAAAAAAAAAGATATGAGCTATCTAGAATATCATTAGCAAAATGACAATCATAAATTAAACCATATCAGTATTAGCAATAAATAGTAATGGATCAACTTGTATGAAAAGGCCAAAGTATTTAAAAATTATTAAAAAGGCAAAGGCAAGGTCCAATTATTGGCTTTCTACATATAATAAAATGTACACTGAAAAATACTATTCAATGCAAATTATAAACAGAAAACTAGAGTGGTTATGGTAAAGTCAGAAAAAAATCATTTGAGATATTAAATATTATAAATATATATACATTTCTTTTTTGAGACAGAGCATCAAGCTCTGTCGCCCTGGGTAGAGGGCAGTGGCGTCCCAGCTCACAGCAACCTCCAACTCCTGGGCTCAAGCTATTCTCTTGCCTCAGCCTCCTGAGTAGCTGGGACTACAAGTGGCAGCCACAACGCCCAGCTATTATTTTGTTGTAGTTGTCATTGTTGTCTGGTAGGCCCTGGTTGGGTTCCAACCCTCCAGCCCCGGTGTATGTGGCTGGCACCCTAGCTGCTGAGCTACAGGCGCCAAGCCTGTAAATATATTTTTTAAATGAGAAAGAATGTCAATTCTTATGATATTATCTGCATATAAAATAAAATACTAAGTCAAAATCACTTGCAAGCATGTAGAGATTATCTCGCTTTGCACTAAAAAGATCTTTACTGATCACCAACTAAGGGCAAAGCACTCCATTTTATTAATTTTGAGGAGGAAAAGCTGATCATGAAGGAAAGTCCATTTTTGCTTCTCATTTCCTTAATTTTGTCAACAGGAAAGCCTGGTTTCTATTAATGAAGACTTTCTTCAGAGCTTCCTTTACATCCTTGTTCCTGAGGCTGTAGATTAAGGGGTTCAACATGGGAATGATCACTGTGTAGAAGACAGAGGCCATCTTATCTGTGTCAAGAGAGTGGCTCGAGCTGGGCTGTAAGTACATAAAGATCAAGGTCCCATAGAATATGGTCACTGCCAGCATGTGGGAGCTACATGTGGAGAAGGCTTTCCGTCTTCCCTCAGCTGAGCGCATCCTCAGGATGGCAGAAATAATGAACATGTAGGAGACAAAGACGATCAGGACGGAGGAAATGAATGTGACACCAGCACAAGCAAAGATCCACAGCTGTTTGGAGTGGGTGTCTGAGCAAGCGAGCCTGAGGAGAGGCATGTCATCGCAATAGAAGTGATTGATGACATTGGAGCCGCAGTAGCAGAGGCGGAAGGTGAGGATGCTGTGAAACAGCGCCATCAGGAAGCTGTAGATGTAAGGTACAGCTACAAGCTGAATGCAGATGGCTGGGGACATCGTGACCATATACAGCAGAGGGCTACAGATGGCCACGTAGCGGTCATACGCCATGGAAGCCAGTAGCAGGCACTCTGATACCATGAAGGTCAGGAAGAAGGCAAACTGAGCAGCACACGCATGGAAGGTTATAACATTTTGTGTGTACAAGAAATTCCCCAACATTTTGGGTGTAATCGTAGAAGAATAACAGAAATCAACAGCAGCCAGATTGCTGAGGAAGAAGTACATTGGTGTGTTGAGTTTTGCATCTGCCCTAATGACAAGGATCAGACCCAGGTTGCCTACTGCAGTAAAAAGGTAGATGGATAAGAATATCATAAACAGGGGCGTCTTCAACTCTTGGCGACCTATGAGGCCCACAAGAATAAATGTCGTCACCTGAGTGCAATTTATCAGAGCCATATCTCTTCAGTTCATCTAGATGAGGAAGTAGAGAAACAAGTTAAGTTCAAGTGGCATTTTTATACTCTAAATCCCATATTTACATATTTAATACATTATTTTTATTATTGTATGTTTTGTTTATCTTATTAGTTTTCATTTCTGATCTATTTACTTATAAAATGAATGTTAGCATACTGAGATTTGGTTTACGTGATGGAGAGCAGAGAGAGATAATTGAATGAGCCTATTAACCCCCCCACCTCCCCTTCCATTGCACATATAAAGATGGAAACAGATAAATGGTCATATTGCTTTGATTTCTGTTTAAAGTTTTTGTGCATTAAGAACCTGACTTACCAAATGCTTACACTATTTTTTTTAATTGAACAAATGTTGAAATTAATAGCATAAAATAAATCTTCTGTCCACATTGGCTTGGACCAATGTGTCATCTTATCTACGTGAACATAATTTCATATGGTCCCAAAGCTGTCGGAAGTATAGTTTTGTATTTTTTAAATTTTACGTTAGTAACTTACCACTCATAGGTCACTATGTGTTGCAACATAACATTAATGGTCTGTGAATGATACAAAAACTGAAAATGGATAACTTTGTGGAAGGCACAATTAGGTGTTTATTTGCCTCACTTTATCTCATTAAACATTAATGTAAAAGTGCCAGTACTATCCCTGTTTTCCAGATGATCAATAGGAGAATAAAATGGAAACATCTAAATGAATTCAGATTGCTTCTATGAATGCAATTGTACTCCCAGTCCACCTGATTCCGACTCAGGAGTCTACATCTCATCATTATGTTTTTTTTTTTATTGTATAATATATTCTGTTTGTTCTGTTGCTGGAAATCTAAATTACTTAAAGATTGTCATTTATGTAAATACTACACAAACATCTTTATTCCTAAACCATGATCTTAACCAAAGGGAATGACGCTTCACATAATCTTATAACATATTACAAAGTAGAATAAGATTGATACTTGCTTCCTAAGAGATTTGGAAATTTATGTCTTCACAAGTCACTTGACAAGGTCTTTTAATGGTTTTCCTTTTCATTTACAAATGCAAATTTGAATTCTATGATATTAACTTTTTATACTGCATTTAATCTTGGACATTTTTCCGTTTTTTCTTATTCATTTCAACTAATTTTAAAATTGAATGATGAAATATTCACATAATGACAAATGTCTTATCTTTCCTACTCCTATTTCTTCTCTCTCATTCATATCTGAAAATTGAAATAAAGCTTTCATACAAAACTTTTAAATGCTCTAATATTATTCTCTGAATAAACATATAAGTAAAATGATAGCCTGTGTTTCTTTAGTTCTTCAAAACTTACTACTACATCTGTGTACTTACTGTGTTGCTCAATTTATTAAAAATGCATTTTAGTTGTTTGTTTTAATGAGACATGTTCATTGAGCAATACTATATAGCAAATAATTTTAAGGAATACTTATTCACCTTAATTACATCTTAAATAAATTATATTTATTATATATAACATTAATATACATTTATCACATGTAATAATAATAATATGTATTCATATTATACATAGAATTTGTAAGTATACAAGTATTTATCCTAAACCCTAATACAGAAGAAATTTTAATATCTAATTATAACATGAAAATTGACAGAAATAAGGACCCCTGAATTTAAAAGTTTTGTATGAAAGCTTTATTTTCAATTTGCAGATATGAATGAGAGAGAGACAAGAAAAAGAAGTAGGAGGGATAAGACATTTGTCATTTCGTGAATATTCCATAATTCAATTACAAAATTAGTCAAAATTAATAAGAAAAAACATAGAAAAATGTCTGACATTAAAACAGTATGAAAAATTAATATCATTGGGGTGGCACCTGTGGCTCAAAGGAGTAGGGTGCTGGCCCCATATGCCAGAGGTAGCAGGTTCAAATCCAGCCCTGGCCAAAAACTGCAAAAAAAAAAAAATTAATATCATTAATATTGATATCATTAAATTTCCAAACTCTATTTGCTTGCTAAAATATGAGTCCATTTTGAGGACTTCAAAACAAATGAAAGAAAGGAAAAACCAAGATAAAATAAAAATAGAATTCTTGTTTATTGGGCTTCTCAGACTAAGACCGTTCTCTAGAATACTATCTTTCACATTCAAACTGCTTTGACCACAAACTATAGAAATAAATGCTTGCTATAAGATGACAAGGAGCTAATAAACATATCCCAAATACTACTTTTATTGCCTGATATATGTTTATATGTTCTTTGGTGTTCTAGTGAAATCTGTATTATGCTATGTAATTCAGATACTAAAAATTAAAAGCATGATCTATAAGCACAGTTTTAAAAACTAGACACTAGTTGCCCAGACACCACACCTTTTTCACTGACATGAATAGATGGGTACTTCACCAGCTCTTGGATAAACCTCCCACTTTCACTGATTACCAAGACTTTTCATATTCTGCCCTTAACATTTATTTCCATTGATTATGTCCAGCTTCTCCTTTCTTAGGGGCATATTCCAATTCACTCATTCTCTTGTTCAGTGATTTACTTGAGTACTCTCCACTAATACTGGGTAAAATCTGTAGCTACGGCAAGAGGAGAAAGTAGAGATCTGATGTAGGTTATAATCTGGTCTATAATGGGCTTGAATTTTTTCAAACCTCTTTGTGGATTCAAAACTGGAATTTGCTTAAAACTAATAAGAAATATTTTAAATTCACAATGAATACCTTCATACAAAAACCAAAATAAAATTGGAGATGTTGTTTATTTTACAAAATATATCCCAAATTTTCATTTTAATTATCATATTGGACTTTATTTCGTCTTGAAATTCTTATCTTCAGCTACTAGAATGATTTTGTTATCCATAAATAAGTTAAAATTCACTATTTGGAAGTATACCCTTTAACCTACCCAGGTTGAATATGCTTCTATTTTTCATCAAACTGGGTGTAGATTGCTGAGAATCCATGATTTTGTCAGTGTCTCTGTGCCAAAGGTAGCTCAATGCAAAATAGATTATCAGAAAAATTGTATTCCACACTCCACTGGGATTCCAAGGCAGGCTGAAGATTTATTGACATGAACCCTGCCTATATTTCATCAGATGGTCTTGTTTTAACCTGAGATCCTATATTGTTCATTCAGAGATATATATAACAAGTATCATGTATAAGTCATGGCTTAGATTTCTCTGCACCATCCATTTCCTCACTCTTATAGCTCATTACAAACAATTTATTAGATTTTTATCCTTGAATAAATATGTCATAACATCATGGCTGTTCAGTCAACACACTTAACATGGTACAATCATTTTTTCATCATGTAAAATTAGACTAGATTGATATAATGTTTCATATTGATTAATGAATAGATACATGTTAAAAGAAACTAGTAATTGTATTCTGTCTTATGTTTATAAATTTTTGAGTTCTCTTACCTAAGTAGATTTACTAAAATTCAGAGAAATAAAAAATAAACTGAAGGATTATGGGTGGGCCCTTCTTGCTCACTAAAACATCTGCTGTAGCTGCAATTCATCCAAAATTGTGTGATAAAATTAAAGAAATGATTCCTAACACCAATTTTAAATTTTAGTTTCACTAATAAAATAAAACTCTTATCTGGGATGCCTCATATTTTTTCTTTCTTAGTTGGAAAATTTAGAAGCATATGCTCTGTAAAAATTACCACTTGATAAAGATAATTTATTATCCAGAGCTTCTTTTCCTTGTGCTAGTTTAATCTGTTCTCACTACCTGTCCAATGGCTAGACATTCCCATTGAAAGAAAGGATTCAGAGAGTGTTTCATAGATTGCATTCTCTTCTGACTTGGGGAAGGAACCAACATTGCTGACCAATGTCCTGGCTTCCACTGGAATTACTTCCCCCTAATAAGGATACTCAGTGGTCATGAATAACTGACTGAATTTTAATGACTTTCTTTGGTTCACTCAGCTGTTCAGTAATGAGTCAATACTCTAGGATGGTGGTTTTTGTTTTATCTTTTCAAATGATCTTATTTTTCATTGTGATATTATCCCTGTTGCTTCTTAGCTAGGATCACTACACGTTAACTACATGTCACTCCAGTATGTCTAAAACATGGTCATAAAAAATAAATAAATATGGTCTTAGTTTCTAGTTTAAGATTTTTGTATCTGCTGTTTAATCTGTTTGGATCATTCATTCACATTTTTGCAAGCCCTCTTTGTTCCCAGATGCTATATTATATATTTATTTGTTGTCAGTTTTCTCAGTGGAATAGAAACCCAATATGGGAAGTGGAGTTTGATTAATCACTATACCATCTTGCACAAATTGAGTACTCAAAGGATATTTTTGAAAGAGATCAATGTGTAAATCATCTATATCCTAAAGTCATTTTGTTGAAATAGATTATATTATAAGCTTGGTGATTTTGACTAATTTGTGGAAATAAAAAATATAAATCCATGACCAATATTTACTAATAGGCTTGATTTTGATGGAGTTATTAAAAAATCACACTTGGAAATTTTAAGACCATATGTTTGTGGATGAATTTTGATGGTTTAATGCAATGTTTTCATCCTGTATTATACCACATTTTATTTTTTATTATATTATATTTATTCAGTAATATTAATAATCCTTTTATGAAACTTTATTTTATGTACAAAGAGTTAGCATAGTTTCTTTCACTGTGGCTCCCTGGACCATCCATTCAAGGAAGATTACTTAGTCCGACTTAATGAACCTGATGTCGTTTGATCAATAATCATTTGAAAGTGTGTGATATACCAGGCATTGTGCTACTTGCTATCAAAATCATCAAATTCCCTTTTTTATCAAATTTATACAGAATACCTTTTTTTATAATTTCACCTGTCAGCTGTGTTTGATGGATGGAGTTTTTATTTTTGAGAGAGTGAAGCCCTAGTTTCTTTTTCATCGAAATGCATTTTCAGAAGTCTTATTGCATTATAGGAGCGTGTTTTGTTG